GACTTATGCCAACAGTAAAAAGGGGCATGAATTGTAATTTGTTTAGGTAAAATACAAAAAAGCTGCGAAGAAAATGTGACTATACCGACTCACATTTTAGTCATGAATGGGCCAAGAGCATAAAAGTTTTCCTTAATTGCGCACTTGTTTTACAATTTTATTATTACCAACCATCTCAAACCTAGCCTGATTCATCAGCCAGTTTCACTTCGTGGAAACCGTCTGACCTCGCAGCATTAGGATTTGTTCGCTCAACGGTAGGTAGGTACTTTTTTATTTAACCAATCGCTGCTATTTGATCGCATGTAATGCGCCAAATCTCGTAGGAAGAGCAATAACGTCTTTCCCCTTGATAAAATTCACCAAACATTCTCTTTGTTCCGGCTTTAAATCCTCGTCTCAGGAATCGTTGCCAACACAGAATGTCTGTCTTCGTCTACATCCATCTCGACGCTTTGTTTACTGTTGTACCACAATAGGGACCCAGACAGACAGGTGCAATGAGTTTGATGTCGTAGCTTTTTACGAACCGTCTAGTGTATTCTGATTCCTGACCTAGTGACTGGAAAGAAATGAAATTGAGCGGAGGCACTAGGTGGCACCAGCCTGGCTACCCCAAACCAGTCCCACTTTTTAATTCTGAAAATCTGGTCACAATACTCTGAAGTGAAAACCATTTTGGGATTCTTGATCATGAAGCTCACTGAGAGAAGATCAAGGGTTTGCAGCAGGGTCAGGATACTCTGAGGGATCTGAGTCAAAAATTCAACATTTTTCTTTGCTACATAATTCCATATGTGATCAATATGAGTGTGCAGGGTCCTGATTAAGTTTAATTCACATCAAAAAAGTCCAAGTCCAGAGAGAGCAGTGCTTACAGTTAGTATCACACTCTCAGGGAATGTTGATGACTACTGCAAAGTATCACATTATATAGTAGGGATGTAACAATATCCAAAATATCGTGATATCGTATCATCAAAGTCTCACAATAATACCTTGGCTGTCACAATATATCGAATCACAAGTTTCATTGCTTAAATGCAGGTTTTATAGTTGCAACAGCTTTTGAACATCGGGAACTACATATCCCATGATTCATTTCAGTGCAGACAACATAAAGAAATATGTTTTTGACTTGAATTCTTGGGATTATGATGGAAATAATTCACACCAAAATCTTGTCAAGGTATTTTAAAAGCAAAAAAGTGTTTACAATTATATCAGCCTGTCCAAAATATCGCAATAAATATCGTTACATCCCTAGTGTATAGTTAATCTAACACGGGAACTGCTTATGACGGAGGAAATACATGACTAAACACAAACTATATTACAGTTCCCAATTAGCATTTTTACAGAGTGATAATTTGTAGTTTGTATTTTTGACAGCCAAAGTAAACACACAGATGCAGCGTATGGTGAAACTGAATTCGATTAGCGAGCCAATTAAAACCAATCGCAGATACATACCTGCGTGTAAGTTGAAGCTAATCAAAATTAATAGCCTGGAGCACCCTGGGTAATTACTTAAGATGGTAGAGCTTCTAAAGAGGAGAATAGGAAGATAAATCAAAGCTCATCAGATGTTTACGCTTCAACAAGAGATAAATGACTATACCAGACGAACGAAATAAACTTTGATCTACACAAATTCAGGATACACTGGCAGCTATTTTCAAATGTCTCCAGTGAGTGATTAAAATATCGTCTTAAATTAATATATTATATAGACTCAAAATGGCCGCCTATACACAAACGATGCACAAACACTAGACTGAAAGAGGGAGGAGGGTGTACTGTACAAAAAGAAGTGAACCAACTATTTGAAACATTTCATTTTCACATCTTCACATCTACCGCTGCAAAAAAAGAATAGGCACATTAGTTGAAATGACTTGAATTCAGTACGTAGAACTTGCTATAACTACTTCAGATTCAGACTTTCCAGTGACACCATGCTGGAGGTGTTTATACATGTATCTCTATGGTGCAGTGTTCACCGGTTACCATGGTGACATGATGCACACGTCTCAAAACTCAAGCGAGCAAATGCAAAATGGATTTAAGTAATAATATATCTTTATCAGATCAGGTCAGGTTGTATTAAAACAAAACTCAGATTAAAGCCTGACTGGAGCAGTGCCTCTAGTCAGAGGTGGAGTTAGTGATTTCGGGGCCCTAGGCGAATTTGAGTTTGGGCCCTCACTATAATGTTTTTTTTTTTTATATATATATGTTTATTGTCTGTTTTTGCCACATTGTTCTTGAGACATGCACATCTCTGTTTATTTGAATTATGGTGGGTTGGAAACTCGTCTTATTAGTTCGGTCGCCTACTAGATAAACAGAACTGAAAGTAGTTATATTTGTTTTCTAGTACAATTACATTTTTGTTTACATCTATTACATGTGATTATTATTATTTTTCTTATGATTATTGTTTAAAAGTAAACTACTTTCATTTAATGTCATACTGAGAGAAAATCAAATCGCTCTGAGGCCTCGACCATTAGTAGCACTGAGGGCAAATGGTTGGGGGCCCCTCCAGGTTTGGGGGCCCTAAGCAGCCGCCTACTTTTGCCTAATGGTAGCACCGCCTCTGGCTGTAGTTAACATCACCCCTCAGGAATGTTGATGACATCAGCTGTAGAGTATCAATGATTGGTTGTTTGGTAGTAGGGCTGTAAAAAAAATATATTTCAGTGATATATTGTGATACTTCATTGCATAATTCTTGTATCAACTCAAAATGCATCCAAAATGATTTTTTAACGTCATGTTTTTTATGAAAATGTTTATAAGTTAAATTTACTATTCTTATGATTTAAAAAATGAAATAAATTGCATTTCATCCAATTTTGTTCTCATAAAAGTTTACTCAACCATAATAATACATGTAATTATTGATAAATCACAATATATCATCCTTTGTTTTAGCATTAGAATTGTAGTATTGTAAGTATAAGTATCGTAAAGCCAGATTCATGGCAATGCACACTCCTAGTTGGTAGGTGAAGTTTTTCTCCATATTTATGTTGTAGTAGATAGTAATTCACATTTCAAGCAGTTTTCTTTGTACACTGATTTCAACTTTTGCCTTAAAGTAGAAAAAATGGAATTGAAGCCAATGGGAAATCACCCAAAATAAACCAAATAAGCATAGCTAATCATGGTTTACTAAATTTAAACTAGTACAAACAGCTCCATTAGGATGATTATTCTCAACTCAAGTCATTTGAACTAATGAGCAAACTCATTTTTTTGCCGTGTATTAACAGCAGTTTCCTTTTCACATACACATCTTCACATGTTATGATTGTTCAGACAAAAATGTTACAAGATCATCACAAATAAAACACCGCGGCTACTTTGCTCTTCGAATAACAATGACGTCCTTCGTGTGCTTTTAGTCTTGGCTGCTGGAAAAAGCCAAACTAAAACTGGATAATTGAAAATGTTCGTACAAATATGCAAGACGGTACGTAACAGCCCGGATGAATCTACAAGAAGAGCTGCAAAAACGGTAACACCAACACAAACGCGTGACTTTATACATCGAATAAAAATGCTACAATTAAAGCCGCACTGTGTAACTTTTCTGGTGGAAGTTTTGGCCTTTTTCTTCTGTCCATGGAGATGTTAAAGCAGTTTGTGTAAATCCTTCATTTGTTCAGGTAGAGTCTGCAGCAAACGAAACTGAATTCTGTCAGTTTTGTTCCACAGTATGGCATTAAACTTGTCTATCTCCACGGCGACAAACAGGCGCAGCAATCGGGCCAAGTTACAGGTCATGTCTGCGGAGAGGCGACCACGCTCACAGTAAGAATACATGGTTTTCAAAGTCTTTTTAATGAATGAAATGTCTAGTATTTGTTCTTTATACTCCACTGCATTTTTGAACAAGATTGAAAAGTAAAAGTATTTTTTGTGATGTTTCTTTTTAACAATTTCATAATTTGTATAATTTGTCATTTATAAACCAAAATATAGAAATAAAACAGTTGAAAAAAAACCTGTCCAATTCAAGAATACATGGTTTTCAAGGTCTTTACCGAATGAAATATCTGGTATTTGTACTTTATACTCCACTACATTTTTGAGCAAGGCTGAAAAGTAAAAGTATTTTTTGTGATGTTTCTTTTTAACAACTTCATAATTTGTATAATTTGTCATTTATAAACCAAAATATAGAAATAAAACAGCTGAAAAAAAACGTCCGATTCAAGAATACATGCTTTTCAAGATCTTTTGGTCCCTGGAGACAAGGAGTCGACGGACCTCTACCAGAAAAGTTACACAATGCACCTTTAGCTAATATTTTTTTTTTGTCAATACGGCACTGTTAGATCGAACGAGAGCTTTTGAGTTTGCTCTATATTCAAATTAAAACTTTTTTTTTCTACAACATCGAGGTGTCCTTATCTCACCCAGCTTCTTTCGTTTGCCGCGGCATCCAGCTGAGCTCTTCAATTCAAAGTCTGCTCAGCTCAAAAGAGTTCCAACGTTTTGAAATATTCCCTCGTGGATTACATTTTCGCACCTTCCCAGATCTGTGTTGCATGTCTGGAGTCTCCAAATTTCCAGCCGTTAAGTTCTCTGGAATACCAAACGCTTTTATGTGTTTACGTAAAAGCTACTAAACCTTTTCCAAAACTTCCAAGTCTTCCCGTCTTAAAGTGGTCATACTTGCACGCCGTTTTTTTTTTTTTTTTTTTTTTTTTTCAGTTTCTCTTCCTAACTCCCAGGATCAAAATGACTTAAACAACACATTCTAGGAGCGCTACGTAACTCCACACAGACTTCCTTGGACAGATTTCCACGGTGAGGCTTCCATGGAGACAGGTTGACTGACGTGGTCCCAGCGTTTCGTTTGGAAGAAGGAGGAGGAGGAGACACATGAGGGTTTGTGTGCGTCTCTTTAATCACACAGAGAGGAAGAAGGATCTGCGGGAGGTAGGGCGCCCCCCGCTGGTCGGCTGGGTCACAGATGGCTCCGCTCAGGGGCTGGCGGGGGGGCGGGGCGAGGGGCACGATCCCTGGCTGTCGAAGCTGGCCGTGCGCGCCTTCCACTGTAACAAGAACAAAGCACATATGTGTGGGGTGAAACTTGAAGACTTCTGTGAGGTGTTAAAGGTCTTATATTACGCACGATTGACTCTTGTTGTGAGCTTTAAGTCATGTTAGAATGTTGTTATTTTTGTGAACTGTGGTCCAAAGTAAGAAAAATTATCTGACAAAGGTTTTTTGTGGAAACGCTTTTGGACATCTGAGTGTTCTATCCATTTTTTCACTTTTATAATGTTGTTACTTCGTCAAAAATATACCCTAATTTGTGTTTTGTTTCATTCATATGTGTTTGAATAATGCTTTATTATTAGTCTGTCTACATCTCCAAATCTCTAAATGCTCTGTTCCACTTTGTGATGTCGTGAAGTTGTAATTTTCAAATGAATAGCTACCTTTTTTTAATCTTTTTTTTCCATAAAGACTGAAAATTTCCATAGAGATTGAAATTATCCAAATGATTCTATTGAAAGCGTATTGAGTTTAAAAACACAATGGAGCACTCTCTGTGTTACATGACATCACCAAGTGGAACAGTGTTTTCAGTTTTAGAGAAGAACTCTTTAGAACTTTAGAGAAGAAGCGTAAATCTGCAGGGTTTGTGTGTTAAACGTGTGTGAATGAAACAAAACACAACTCCAGGTCTGTTTGTGACGAGGAAACTGCATTATAACTTGGGTAGAAATAAAACAAAAAACAATTACAGTTAGTGTGCATTTCAATAAAGAACCTATGGCACATTTCACCAGGTTTGTGAAGTTGTAGTGTGTTATCTATATGTATGGAAAAAAGCATGGGTGACGGAGGCTCGTGGGCTGACACAGGATAGGACTGTACTGCTAATCATAAGAAATAAGGAAGGTTCAAAGTATCATTACTATGACGAAAGTACTGTGAAATTATTGATCAGACTAGAAATACTAGAGCACAGATCCAGGTTTTTCTGTTCCGATAACGCTCTGTGCCAGTACCAGCTATCAACCCATACCAGAGCAGACACTGAGAATGTCATTTATTTCCTAACACAAAACACCATGAGGTAAAAATGATTCAAATGTGTACAGATAAAAATACAACTTTAATATTATGAGATACTTTAGGCCAATATTATCCAGTAAATCACTGTTTCCAAAGGCTGGGTCGTGACCCTCAGGTGGGTCGCAAGAGATTTTTATTGCGTAACCTTGTTACGATCTGCATGTCGGTCTGTGATATACAGTTCTGACACTGATCTGCTGCTGCACTCTCCTCCTGCACCTGAACTGGAATGCACTATAAAAACACAGACAGGCCCACCTATCTCATTAGAAATGTTGAAATGTTAAGACATGTATAATTTCAAATGTTTTGTAATTATTTTATTGACTATTTTGTTTCAATATTGCTGGTTCAATTGAATGTTGAAAAGAAAAAGAAATGTTCTACATTTAATATCCAAATAGGCGACTTATGGATCCTTTTATTTCTGCTTCAATGAATGTTTTTCATTCTTTAAAACTTGAGTAATACTTATTGTTCAGAGACGCGATCAAACAGTCAACAATAAAATATCCTCATTAATGTTCAATAATCAAATCCACCTTTATTTTGTGATTTACAAATAATGTCTATTAACTTCACGAAGGTTTGTAACTTTTAAAATATGGGTCCCCAGAAAAAAAGTTTGGGAAACACTGGAGTAAATTGTCTTATTACACCAGTTTAGAGATCAAACTGGGATATCAGCTGAACCGATATCTTGGAAACTAATATCTGATCCAACAAAATGTTCATTATCAATGTTGATGTACTGGTGCATCCCTAAACATAACAGGCAGAAGATTAAAACACGTTTTTTTACATTCAGGTGAACCTTTTTGGAGTGTAGACTGACGTTAAATGACTTCTGAATTCTTTTGGCATGCAACAATTCTCACAATTATTATCTTTTTAGCTCTTAAGTTATATTAATTAGTGACTAACTGAATTATCTTGTGTTAGGACTTTTGTGTTCTTTTGTAGCACTTTTCCCAGATCATGGGAGATCACAAGGGATCGTGTTAAAATGTATTCAAAGATGCTTAGCTGCTAGAAATTTCTACATGAAACTAAACAAGAGTCTATTTCTTACTGAAGGCAATCTCTGTATATGGACAAAAGAACTACTCCAACTTTGCCATTGTTTTCACCTCATATTAGAGACTTAACTTTCTGCACTTTTTCGTGCATTTTCAATTTGCACCCAGTGAGCCACAGGGATTTATGAGGATTATCTTCTGCTGTTTTGTATTCTGAACAATACCATTACAAGTTGCATCCTCAAAATTGGTGTTAACTCAATCAAAGAAAGCTCCACCCGCTAATCCTGAATCTGAACCATGCGTGGAATAGCGTAGACTCACCTCCTTCTCGGACTTCTTGGACTCCAGCAGGGGGTGCCAGTGAGCGATGGGCTTGCGGGGGTAAGCCAGCATCTCGTTCCAGTGGTCTCGCCCGAGTCCCTCCGCGTGACCCCCGACCCTCATCACGCCAATGATCTCGTTATGACCTACCCTAGAGGACGGAGGGGGCATTGCACGTCAGTCAGACCGGACTAAGATCACATGACAGGTCAGAGCACAGATCAGGCTGAGCGGAGCTGTAATCTAAAGAGACAAGAACATGAGGAGGGGCTGCGCGTAGAAACATCAATCCAACACGTTTCAATCACAACATATTGATTTTGACCGATGGCTAAACCAGTGTTATTAATATATACATGTCAAGGCCAGCTTGGTTTAAAGGAATACACGCTCTGTCTGCCACCTGATCATCTTCTTTGACTTGTTCACATGAGAACGTTTTGAATAATTTTAAGACATATGAAAATTTTTATTAATAATTTATAACAAAAAAAAAAAAACACTTTCAATGATTTTTGTTAGTTTTAATGGCCAGTATTACACCTGTATTTGTGTTTTGTTTCATTGACAGTAGGACCTCATTTTCTAATGAGCAGAGTGTTGGAAACGTGCAGAGACACTTTTTAAAATATTCCATCCAGTCCTTGTATTTGCAGAGGTCACTGGTGCTAGGCTAGTGCATGTCAATGGCCATAGTTAGCCTGCCACTAAAAACAGTCTTACCCACTAAACAAAACACCCAAAACAAATCTGTTATTACACCAGACTGTCCATGTAAATGTCTGTGTTGATAGAATAATCTTTGAAATAAAACTAACCTCGCATCGCATAAATCGTCACATGTTGAGGGACTATTTTCTCATATATCAATCCGCCACTGCCAAACTTTCTGTCAGGAAGTACAACTCGCTGCTGCTGCTCAGACAAAAATCCTTCAAATGCAAGGTTGGTTTTACTTCCAAAATTATTCTGGTATAATAATAGTTTTGCTTCGGGTGTTTTGTGGAGTGGGTAACACTGTTTTTAGCAAAGCTTTGGGGGCAGGAGTACTACTTGGATATGCAAAAATTGTGCAGAATTGTCATTTTGGTTTTGGTGCTCTTCAGTGTAGGGACCAGTCTTAAATACAAAGTAGGAAAAAAAACTGAGGCACTCAAAAAGTACAAAATAATTAAAAGACTTTAATACCACATAGCAGACAAAGTTAAAATACGCCCACCCGTTTCGACGCCTTTATCAGGACAAACTCGAGATGGTTATCACAGTGCAGGTGTATTTTAACTTTGTCTGCCATGTTGTATTAAAGACTTTTAATTATTTTGTACTTTTTGAGTGCATCAGTTTTTTTCCTACTTTGTATTTAAGACTGTTTTTAGTGGCAGGATAACTATGGCCATTGACATGCACTAGCCTAGCACCAGTGACCTCTGCAAATACAAGGACTGAATGAAATATTTTAAAAAGTGTCTCCACACGTCTCCAAAACTCTGGCTCTATGTCCAAAATTCCGGACTGTCCCTTTAACACACAAACCCTGCATATTTAGGCTGAGTTCTTCCCTCAAATAAAAACACTGTTCCACCTTGTGATGTCATGTGGTAATACAGGAAGTGCTCCACTGTGTTTTTAAACTCCATACACCTTCACTAGAATTATTTGGATGATTTGACCCCTGGAATTTCCGATTTCAACTGAACTAAAGGTAAAAAGTAGCGGTTAACTTGAAAACTACAGCTTCATGACATCACAAGGTGGAACTGAGCATTTTGAGCTTGAGATGTAAACAGACTAATAATAAAGGATTACTCAAACATGTGCATGAAACAAAACACAACTTCAGTTAACAACTTTATAACTTGACTTAAAATTTGCGTAATATCTGCCCTTTAAAACCAAGTTGAAATATATTTGATCAACTCAAATAATTTTGGTCCACAATTAAATATTTAAACACCACCTGCTTGGTACCATAGAAGTCTTGTCACCTCCTTGTCAGAAATGTCCCACAGTATGGCATTACACTTATATACATCCATGGAGACAAACAGATGATGTAACCAGGCCAAGTTTGTTACTGGCCAGATCTGTGGAGAGGCAACCCAGTTTACAGTAAGAATGAGTGTTTTTCAAGGGATTTTTTGAGCTAAAAACATATGTTATTGAAGAAAATGTAAGATATATATGTTTAATGCCTTGGAAAAAGCAGGTAGGGAACCCCCCTAATAGAAAAGTTACATAATGTATCTTTAGAATGGCTTGAAATGAGTAAGCATAGATGCATTTTCAACTTTTGGACCCAGACTATTTGACTTGATTTATATTTTAACTTGTTTTTAATATAATCTGGTAAAATGTCAAAGTAAATGTCACCCGGATTTATTTTTTATTCAACTGGCAAATAGTTTTGTTCAAAAATCATTTCTAAAATATCTCAATCATTTCTAAAATATCTCAAGATTATTCAGAAATATCTACCATTTGCAAAGTATCTTATTGTCTATTTCAATTCTTCAACAACAAATTCTGAATTCAAGTCATTTTCGCTCATGTCGATTTTCGCAATGCATTCTGGGACATAACCACCACAAAATAAGATGTGGCACAGATATTTGAGCCCTTAAAATGGACACGCTCAGCCTCAGAACATTACTGAAGTATATTGACTTTATGACAATGACATTGATTTTGGCTTGAGGCATGTGTGTTATAAATAAAAGGTGTCAGGACGACCTTGGATGAGCTCGACAGCAGTGACCACTACAGCAGGAGTCTACAACTGTCGTCCACGTCGATATTTTTGTTTAATTGCAGATGGATTTATAAAGATTAAGTGTTCTGTGTTTATAAATGGCCAAAAAAATACAGGGTGTGTCAAAAACCTGACCTCATTTCACAGGCCAGTAATTTTGGTAATTCTTGTTGAAATAACCTAAATTTTCACAGAATGCAAAGAAACGGATCAAGATTTTATATTTAATGTTTTGTTTTTGTTCTGTTTTCAGGTTGAGCCGTTCACTCTCAACGAGAAGTCAGTTTGAGTCTTTGAATCTGCTCACACACACCCAAGACTGAAAAACTTCACCAATTGGCAAACAAATGTGTTTTTAGTACCAAAAATGTAAAGAGGAAGCCTGCTTATGCCGGGCTAAAGGATCTGGTGGATCATCATCAACATCAGAAGAGAAGGTTGAGCAAGTTCATGAAAAACTCTTGTGAAGCTCCAAGAAGTCCGTAAAGAGAACAAGTTTGGAAACTCAGATTCCTTGAATGATAGTTTGGTTTACCAGATCCTTTAGCCCTGCATAGTCCGCCAAACTTTTTACATTTTTGGTAGTCCAAGTTTTGCATTGAAGACTGCACGATGTTGGGTGACTTTGTGCGAGCAGATTCCAGGACACAAATTGACTTCTCTTTGGAAGTGAACGGCTCAACCTGAAAACAGAACAAAAATAAAACATTAAATATAAAATCTTGATCTGTTTCTGTACATTCTGTGAAAATTTGAGGTTATTTCTACAAGAACTGCCAAAATTATTCGGCTGCAAAATGATGTCAGATTTTTTGGGACACCCTGTATATGTATAAATAGGGGTTAGGGGAGGGAATCTTGAATTAGAATAAGAATTAGAGTAAACTAGATCTTAGTGAAAACTGGCATATCAGTTCCAATGTTGTCTTATTTCTTACTTTAAGCTACCGTTTGCAAGACAGCAGTAACGTAGACAGCATCTAGTGGAGATATGTGAGAATACAACAGGAGTGGGTCCGCCAATCTAAGTACAGATGGAGGCTTTAAAGGGTCTGCACCTGATTTTCTCCAGTATAAGCAGCTCTTGGTATCAAATTAATATAAATGTTTTAAAACTCAGCTCGGGTCTAGTTGCAAAAAGCACTTACAAACTTAAGAGTTGTGGATAATTAGGATGTTCTGAATGCCTAAGGTAAGTGAGGAATAATTTTAGACCGCTGCAAACTGTTGAATTATGTTTATCATGTTTTTAAGACAGTAAAGTAAAAATCAAGTCAGGTACAATGCCTTTAAGGTTAGACAAGAACTAATTATGATTAATGTTAAGGCCGCCACACTTCAGGAGAATGTGCCCGATTTAGGTTGTGATTTGCTTTTTCCCGAGTTTGGGGAGGCGTGACCCGACTTTATTTTGAAGCTACTGCACTCCTCATGTGGGTGGTGTCGTATCGTAACCATCAAACATCAGCAAAGCTACGGTAACACAAAATACAGAGCAAGATACAAACTCAGGAAATAGCAAAAATAATTACTGCACACCCCTCGTAAAGTTGTAAATTTAAACTGCAGCTTTTCATAAATATCATCCATAGAAATCCGTGTATCATTCATTCATTCATTTTTCAATATAAAACCAAAAATAAGAAAACGAAAAAACAACTGTTTTGTTCATTATTTGTCTCCAAAACCAAAATGAAAAAAACGATAATGATTTAGTGTTTAAATGAAGAATGGAAAAAATGGATATGGATATGGAAATGGGGGCCCGTTTCCCGTTTACGTGACTTCCATGACTGCAATGCCAGACTGAACCAGGACTGATCCAGGTCCAGGACCAGACAGAGATCAGACCGAGACTGAGACCGGGACTGAGCCCGAGACCAGGCCGGGACCAGACTGGGACTGGACCGGAGGGTCCGAGCCCACGGCAGGGCCCAAGCTCGAAGCTGAGGCTCAGACCCCACAGAGGGTCGGAGTCAACACTCGGAGTCCGCTCTGGTCCCACTCTGGTCCCGTGTGGTCCCAGACCCGGATCAGTCCTGGTTCAGTCCGAATGCAGCGCAAAATTCCAGCATCACAGTCACAGAAGTCACGTAAACGGGTTTTTCCATTCTTCATTTAAACACAAAATCAAAAACTGAAAAAACAAATCATTATCCATTTTTTCATTTTGGTTTTGGAGACAAATAATGAAGAAAACTGTTGTTTTTTTCGTTTTCTTATTTTTGGTTTTATATTGAAAAACAAATGAACGAATGATACATGGATTCATAGAATTTGTGCTCCACAAATAATGACACCCAGTCCACATTTATTATTATTCTTATTAACATTAATCGGGTTTTAGAGTTCTTTAAACATAAAAAGACGAGTGTAATTCCTCACGTGTGTCTGTTTACATGAACACAGCGCACAGATCGAGATGAAGCTGCAGATTAGTGATCGACTCTGCTTCCTGTGAACTTTATCTCCAGCCTCCTGTGCATTAAAAAAATCATGTATCTGAAGTATTGCACCACATTTCACAAATAATAATAGCACAGTTTTTACTTATATCTAAACTAGAAGTGCAGAGCTCTCATCTTTTGAACACTTTAAAGTCTCAAATGAGCGAGTGTTTTTACTCTAGACAGGAAACAGCAGACATGAGGTGCACTCACAGCTGTGCAGCCTGTGGTGCGCAGACAAATCCCCCTGCAGTCTTTGAGAACAGAGAAATCTCATAAGATTCTCCCTGTGTCTGTGGTGTGCTTTTTGTCGCACGTTTAAAAATCGTTTAAGACTGAAAAATCCTGTACTGTGTGGGTGCCTTAAGAGTCTTTATTCTACTGGCAACACTACATATATTTTTCCATTGCATTATTTTGTTGTCAAGATACAAAAAATTCAAATTCTATTTTGACTTGATACTCAATACTGATTCTTACGAAAGCCGAGAGGGGACACAACAATCGCAAATGCCACAACAAATACAAATGCGACAACACAACAAAAAGCCACAACACACCAAGAAAAGTCACAACGGAAATGACCGCGGGACTCTATTTCAATGCAAACGCCGCAACAAATACAAACTCCACAACACAAACGCAAATGCCGCAACACATTAAAAAGCCACAAAACATCAAAAAGCCACAACGGAAGTGACCGCAGGACTCTATTTTCCGATGGACCGATCAAGCAGCAAGTGAAGAACTACAACGTGAAAAGTAAAGGAACAGAGAAGTTGGAAACATAAGTAACAGTAAGTTATTGTTTTATCATTATTTGTTTCACGTTGTAGTTCTTCTTCACTTGCCGCTTGATTGGTCCATTGGAAAACAGAGTCCCGCAGTCACTTCTATTGTTTTTTATTTTATTTATTTTTTATGTGTTGTGGCTTTTTAATGTGTTGCGTCATTTGCGTTTGTGTTGTGGTGTTTGTATTTGTTGCAATGTTTGCATTAAAATAGAATCCCGCAGTCATTCCGTTTTGGCTTTTTTTGTTGTGTTGTGGCATTTGTATTTGTTGCGGCGTTTGCGTTTGTTGTGACCCCTCTTGGCTTCCATAGATTCTGATACATGAAATAATAAAATAAATAAAGGGTCTTTTTAAAGACCCTTTATTTCAACAGTACAATGCCATTTTCAACATTAAATAATAGATCTTTCTTTTATATTATCTTATATTTGTGTAATCCAGGTCCAGGTAGGTTCCATCATGGGTGTAGAACAGTATCTGTGCTCTTATACTTGTTCTGAAAGAGCTCAAGATCTTTCTAAAGGTTCATTTCTGTCCTGTGAATGTGACTTTTTTAGCATCCATACTTGCTCAAATGAATATCTAGTTTCAATAACAGTCTTAGCATCATTTCGTATCTGACTTTTAAATATTTTGGACATGTTTCAGTGGCTGTACTCACAGGTCGTAGTCCATGACAGAGATGTGCAGGCTCACGTGGTCCATACTGTCCGGAGGGATGTCAAAGATGATGGCTTCGTTGTATGTGGGGTTCAGTGTGTTCTTTTTAATACTCGTCTTCTTCTTTTTCAAACGCCGCCCGTCACAGATGAGAGACACTTTCACGTACGGATCTGAACAGTGGACAGAGACAAATGTTAGTCACATCATCTACAAGACTGTCAAAAGTTATGTGTAGATAAGTTAAAGGACTCATATTAAGATATCTTCTAATCTATTTTATAATGTAGTTTCCTCAGCACAAATATATGTAGAGTTGTGTTTTGTTTCAGTCACTCATGTTTTACACACAAATCCTGAATATTTTGGCTGAATTCTTTTCTCAAAAAGGAAAACACTGTCACTGTCATGTTATGTGGGATCATTTTAGCTCTGGAATATCCCTAACCTCGCGCAGCAGGATGGACTGTCGCGATATTTGTGAGATCAAAAACTCACGAAAACCAATCTTGGTGCCCGCTGGTGTGATAGTCACTGTTGCAAATCATGTTGCCAACAGACCTATTTTAGTGTCAACACGGAGTATTTTATTTGTGAAAAATATGCAGAAGGTAAATGCTTTGTGCATTTGTTTTATTTTTTTGGCCTGTTCCGCTGTTGTGAAGTGGATTAAGTGGACTAAGTGGACATCACCCATAGTTCAGCGCCGCTCAAATGAACAGTTACAGGAGCAAATCTGGAGCCAGGCTCTATGTCAGGGGTGTTACACTTAAATGCACAGAGGCCAAAATTAAAAACTGGGACTAAGTCGTGGGCCAAACTAAATAATTATTGAAAAATTTCAGCAAAATCTGCATGTTTTCTCTTCTTCTGAAATATGTAATGTTAAACCTTTTCTTATTAAAATAAATGTTTAATTATAGTTTTGCTTAAACATTGAATCTGGAACAAACGTAATATAAAATAATAACATTTTAAATAAATAATGTCTCTATAGTCTGTCTGTAGCCTGCAGGTCAGATCTAATACATATTTGATATAATCTCGCGGGCCAAATATAATTATATCACGGGCCAAATTTGGTCCCTGGGCCTGAGTTTGACATGTCTGCTCTATGTTATGAATAGGATTTTTTTTGATGGACAAACAAAAAAAAACAAAAAAAAGAAGGATTATATAGAGTGGGTTAATACGAACATTTTAAGATCAAAATGACGAGGCTCACTGCAGCAGTTACAGAAGAGAGGGATGACAAGATCCTAAGTCAACTGGAACCAGACTCAGAATATTTGGTTTATGGTTGTGACTAGAGCCCGACCGATATATCAGTTGGCCGATATTATCGATGTGGGCACCTGAAAACATATCGGCCGATAGTCGAAAACCTTGAAAAACACGTGTTCTTTGTGGGATTGCCTCCCCACAGATCTGCCCTCTAACTTGGCTCAGCAGCATCACCTGTTTATCTTCATGGAGCTAATGCCATACTGTGGATCATTCCAGGCAAAGCAAGAACATCTCCATGGAGACAAGCAGGTGCTCAAAAGTGACATAGCGTACCTTTAAAACGGTAACACCTCTCTATACAAAACTCCCAGAGAATTTGACATTGTCACATCCTTAGTAACATCTGGATCTAAAAACTATCATTTGCCTCCACATTTGAGACGTGTCCTCAAGTAGCTCCAGAGTCAAAGTTATTCTCAAAAGAACAAGCTGTTTTATGCCTGTATTAGTCTAACCCGAGAGGCCGTAATGTGCACTAAAGTAGATTGGTGTAAACAAACTTGATGGGGGGCGCAGATAGATAGACTGAATAACAACACAAGAGGAGCTGTTTCACTGTGGATCCATCAGTGAGGATTGGGGCCCTGTGCTGTTTACTCACACACACAAGACTCTGCTCTTAATCTGCAAACAAACAAACAGAACCACTGACTAAACAAGCCAATCACACAGCTGCAGTTTGGTGAGGAAAGAATTCAAAATATGTATTCAAAATAGTGGGGAGTCTGTGGCAAAACTGTTGTTGTGTCCTTCGGCCTGTCAACCACATTACCTAATATAAAAGTGGCGTGTGTGTGTTGGTTAGAGGGACCGATGGCACATGACAGCAAGAGTAACTCCACCACCAAGTACGGAGAATGATTAAACAAACTGTAAAGCGACTAGTGTTGTCAAACGATTTTAAGAATATATCAGATTAACCAAACTATTCAAATATGATTCATCACAATTAATCTCATTGCACGCTGATTTTTGTGTTGAAATTCAAGCAAATTTGAAGCTTTAAAAAACCACCAGCAACAAATAAATATAATGCATTATTCCACAAATCAAAATGAATTATTTAAACAATAATTTATCATATTTTTCAGACTGTAAATCACACTTTTTTTCATAGTTTGGGTGTTTCTTGTGACTTATATTCCAGTGCGACTTATATATTAAAATGTTCACACTGACAGCCGTGAGAGGCTCTAGGCTTGTGTGTCAGTATCTGCTGCTGCTGTACCACTGTCACTTCACACTCTACTGCGCATGCCTCCTGCAAAAAAAGCCGCTGTCCTGCTGCAAGTAGTGAAATATTCAGCTGAAAACGGTATTCGAGCAGCAGAGAAAACGTTTGAGGTGAGAAACTTGTGAGGAATTGGAGGAAAGCGAGGATGAACACAGCTTCATGGCAAATAGGAGGATGCACCATGAAACTTTCCTGGAAGTCACTAGATGGATGGACAAAGCCTGGACTTCAGTGACAAATGAAACCATCCTGTCGGGATTCAGAAAGGCCGGAATAATTCTAACTGGAACTGATGCTGAGTCTGATGACAGCGACACAGAAGAGGAAGCGGTGCTCTGTTTACATCATGGATCTATGATTTACCTCCAGAGGTCTCGCTGAAGTGACACCGATGAAGAATTGAATGGATTTAGTGATTTGGAGTGAGATGGAGAGTTTGGTAAACTTGATCTGTTCTGTTGTTTATGTTATAATTATCTGTAGAACTGTTCATATGTGACGTTAACAGTCTGTTGTTCTCTGTTCTATTGTTATTACTGTAATTTGCCTTTCAAGATGAAATGTCGGTTCCTGGTCTCTGATTTTATAAAATACATTTCTCCAAAAAGTGCTACTTATAGTCCGGTGCGACTTATAGTCCAAAAAATACAATAAAGCCCCACTGACTATAATTTAAGTCTAGAAATTGTAATTCATAATAAATGTGAGTGACCAAATGTTCCAGGTTAATGTGCCTGACCAAACAAGAGGTTTCATTGCCGCTTGCGGGTGTAACCGTCTCTCCTGGTGACACATACAAGCTATAACAATTGGCAGAGTATCTTCCATTGTTCTGTAACAGCTTGGTGAAATATCTGACCCATATTACTCTTTTAGTGCTCACACATGACCTTCATTTTCCTCATGAAGGAGCACGCTGTTTTACTCGAGGTCTGCCTGGAGTCTTTGGTTTAATCTGCAGCACGGACAGACCTGACCAGTCAGAACCACATGCTTTGGTGAAACTTTAGTTGATCTGTAGTGTCTCCTGGATTTCAGAGGGTGTTCTACAGAATCAACAATGGAAGCACAAAACCATGACTTAAACTATGACAAAACTACGAGGTAAAAAGCAGTAATATTTTTTGTTTTGAATGTCACGAGAATTTTGGAGAGGAGATGTTTTCCGCATTTGAGGCAAGGCAAGTTTATTTGTACAGCACAATTCATACAAAAGTAATTCAAAGTGCTTTACAGAATAAGAAATACATTAAAATCATAATAAAACATAAATAATCATAAACATTAAAATTAAAAAAAGAGAGACATAAATTGGAGAGAAGAGTGCGGAATGAAAACCTTTCAGTTATTTGCACAGTTAAACAGAAATGTTTTGAGTCTGGATTTAAACAGCGTCACAGAAGAGTCTGTCTCACATGTTCAGACTGTTCCAGGTTTTAGCTGCATGAACCTGAAACGCTGACTCCCCTTGTTTAGTCGTGACTCTGGGCACCAGCAGGAGGCCGGTCCCTGAGCTCCTCAGAGTGTGAGATGTTCATATGACACTAACATGTCACAGATGGACTTTGGTGCTCGGCCATGGAGAGACTTGTACAAGCAGAGCTGCTTTAAAGTCTATTCTCTGAGGCACAGGAGCCAGTGCAGAGACCTGAGCACAGGACTTATGTGCTCGTACTTCCTAGTTCGAGTGAGGACCCGAGCTGCAGCGTTCTGGATGTTCTGGATGTTCTGGATGTTCTGGATGTTCTGGATGTTCTGGATGTTCTGCAGCGTCTCACAGCTCGTTTGGAGAGACCAGTGAGCAGAACATTACAGTATCTAACCTACTGGAGACAAACGCATGGATAAGTTTCTCCAAGTCTGCTTTAGACAGTAAACCTTTGATTTTTGCTCTGTTTTTTAGATGGTAAAAGGCTGCAGATGTTATTGATTTGATGTGGCTGTTAAAGTTCAAGTCTGAGTCCATTATTACCCCGAGATTTCTTGCCTGATTTGAAGGTTTTAGAGAGAGAGACTGGAGGTGATGCTGACACTGTCCCTTTGTTTCTGTGGACCAAACACTATGACTTCAGTCTTGTCAGAGTTTAGCTGGAGAAAGTTGTTTTGCATCCACACACTGATCTGTTGGACGCAGTGACAAAGTGAGTCCACTGGTCCATAGTCTCCTGCTGCCAGAGAGACGTAGATCTGAGTGTCATTTGAGGAACACATGCTACAAATTAGGGGCTGTGGTTGGATCACCTACAATTTGGACAGGGGTTTTTCACCTTCTTTGTCCAGTTCCAGACTCTTCTGGATTCGAACAGAATGTAGAAGAGACTGGCTGCTCAGGCAAGTGGCGCAGAGCCATAGCATGTCTCACTCCTCGCATGTCAACAGCCACTGAGCAATCTGCGCTGTCCACGTGAGGTCTGATGGACTTTATGTGTAAATGTAACCGTCTGTCAGCGCTGCTCCTGAACTCAGCGTCTCTGTCAGGTAAAGCCTCCCAGACAAACTTGTGCTTGATTGGTCAAAACAGACTGTGTGATTAATCTGCATCAATCTGTGGTTAACGTTAACTTTGACTTTGAGCATCTGGAAAAGTCTATTTTTGTCAGTAACACTTGTAATAAGAATTAGGGTTGCAACACCTTAATTATTCTTTTTAAACTTTAAGTTCATTATAAATTATGTTTTGTTAATCATTTATTAGGGCACTATGTTTTGTGAAGGAGGGTCACCTTGTTTCATTAAAGTTCACATATTACGTTATTTTCTGATCTAAGTTGTAATGTTTCCTCATTGACTTGAAAGGCGTTTAACTTTTCTGGCGGAGGGTCTGTCAAATGCTTTTATCCGTGAAGATTTTGTCGTTTTGTCTGGAATGTTCCACAGTATGGTGTTCAACCTCACTATCATCATGGAGACCAAGCCAAGCCAAGTTGCAAGTTCATTAAATTCAAATTGCTTTACCTGGAATGTTACAATGCATGAAATGATAAATCGTCTGAGCAAACATCTGGAAAAGTCTCTATTTTTGGCAGTAAAAAATCTAGTTGAATGCTGTTACCTCCTGAAAAACAGACCTGCAGTTGTGTTGTGTCCGGCGAATTTAGGCCCCATCCACACTAGTTCATATTTGAGTCGTTTTCATTGTGGATGCAGTGTTCATCCACATTAATCTGATGGAAAACGGCTCCAGAGACGGAACGATCTGGTGCCTCCAGCTCCCACAAATTCATCTGAGTATGGATCTGATGCGGCACAGTGTGGACGCCTGAAAACGTTGATAGGGCGATGTAGGAGCTCTAGTTGTGTCCTTATTGGACCACGTCACTGTGACCTGCACCTTCCACACTCTGAGCCTCCATGCTTGTCTTAAAATTCAGTGTTATGTTCAGTAACAACTGAACCTCGTCGTCGGACTACGAAAAAACTGTTTTCACACTTGCCATCTTCATCGGTTCCAAATCAGCTTCTGCAACTTCAGACACGGTGCTCCACTTCCTTGTTTTTACTGCCCATGTGATGTTGTGACTAGCGTTTCAGGCGGTTTCGTGTTACTGTGTGGAAGGGAAGACACAGAAACAATGTGTCTGGACGCAAATCCTTTCTGATACAGTGATTTGTTTCACTTTAACTTGGGTTCTTTTAAAGACAATGTAGTAAAGTGTATTTACCTTGTTGACATGTTTCGGCTGCTAACTGCAAACCATCTTCAGAACTGTCAGCGGTGTTGGTGGGGACGTGTCGTATATGAGCTGTTGTTACTTCCTGTAGGCGTGGTCAACCTGATGGACCTGGCAGGTGACTCAGACTGACCACGCCTCCCGTCGCTCGATGTTCTCTGGAGGAGGGTGTCCCAGGTGTGTGAAAGGAGGAACGCTCCGTCATCACGGTTAATGCTGCAACACCGGTGACAGTTCTGAAGATGGATTGCAGCAGCAGCCGAAACATGTCAACAAGGTAAACACACTTTACTGCATTGTCTTTAAAAAGAACCCAAGAAGTTTAAGTACATAAGAAGACAAAATGAACATCTTTGGCTTAGTGACTTGTTTCAGTGTAAACATAACCTTAAGTTCTTCTCCCAAATGGAAAATATTCAATTCTCACTCAACCTTATGATGTCATGTAGTAGTACAAGAAGTGCTCCACTGTGTTTTTAAACCCCATACACCTGCACTAGAATCATTTGGATGATTTCAGCCCTGGAATTCCCAATCTCTTCTGAACAAAAGGTAAAAAGTAACTTGAAAACTACTGCTTCATGACATCACAAGGTGGAACAGAGCATTTTGAGCTTTGGAGATGTAAATAGACTGATAATAAATGGTTACTCAAAAGTGCGTGAATGACAAAACACCACTCCAGGTCTGTTTTTCAGGAGGTAACAACACTCAAATACATTTTTTTTACTACTAAAAACAGAGACTTTTCCAGATGTTTGCTCAGACGATTTATCATTTCATGCATTGTAACATTCCAGGTAAAGCAACAAGAAATTAATGAACCTGCAACTTGGCTTGGTTTGGTCTCCATGATGATAGAAATGTTTAATACCACACTATGGAACATTCCAGACAAAGCAATAAAAACTACACGGAGAAAAGCGTTTGACGGACTCTCCACCTGAAAAATGACACAATGCACCTTTATTATTATACAATTAGAGTCGTGTTATCAGTGTTGGGAAGGCGACTTTTAAAATGTATTCCCCTACAGATTACAGATTACATACACCAAAATGTAGTTTGTAACGGAATCCATTAAATGACTTAAAGTGAGTAATGTAATCTGAATACTTTGGATTACTTGATTTGCTGTAGAGATGCAAAGAAGAGGAAATCTTCAGATGTTTTGTCTGTTAAAAGAAAATGAAAAGTCCAGTCTTTCCTTAATCATATTAAAAATATTATTGATAGAAGAGGAGGAGACACGGTCAGCGCAGCATGGGTTAGTCCTGTTAAATCCTGTTTTAGTCCTGTTTTAGACCTGGTTTAGATCTAGTTTAGACCTGGTTTAGATCTAGTTTAGACCTGGTTTAGATCTGGTTTACACCTGGTTTTAGTCCTGGTTTAGACCTGGTTTTAATCCTGGTTCAGTCCTGGTTTAGTCCTGGTTTAGACCTGGTTTTAGCCCCAGTTTAGATCTAGTTTAGACCTGGTTTAGATCTGGTTTACACCTAGTTTTAGTCCTAGTTTAGACCTGGTTTAGTCCTGGTTTAGACCTGGTTTAGTCCTGGTTTAGACCTGGTTTAGTCCTGGTTTAGACCTGGTTTAGTCCTGGTTTAGAGACCTGGTTTAGTCCTGGTTTAGATCCTGGTTTAGTCCTGGTTTAGACCTTGGTTTAGACTGGTTTAGTCCTGGTTTAGTGTTTTACCTGGTTTAGACCTGGTTTTAATCCTGGTTCAGTCCTGGTTTAGTCCTGGTTTAGACTGGTTTTAGTTTAGATCTAGTTTAGACTGGTTTAGATCTGGTTTACACCTGGTTTTAGTCCTAGTTTTAGACCTGGTTTAGTCCTGGTTTAGACCTGGTTTAGACTGGTTTAGACCTGGTTTAGTCCTGGTTAGACTGGTTTAGTCCTGGTTTAGACCTGGTTTAGTCCTGGTTTAGACCTGGTTTAGTCCTGGTTTAGACCTGGTTTAGTCCTGGTTTAGACCTGGTTTAGTCCTGGTTTAGACTCCTGTTTAGACTGTTTAGTTTAGTCCTGGTTTAGTCCTGGTTTAGACCTGTTTAGTCCTGTTTAGACCTGGTTTAGTCCTGGTTTAGACCTTGTTTTAGTCCTGGTTTAGTGTCCGGCAATGAGTGGAATTACCAAAAAAAAAAAAAAGAAAAGGGGGTTTAGCCCAGAATGTGAAAACAGGAAAATACCTCCATGTAATCCATTTACTTCAACAAAGTAACTGTAATCCAATTACCACTCACTGAAACAGTAACTGTAACCGAATACAGTTACTCATAATTTGTACTCTGATTACGTAACTCCGGTACATGTAATCTGTTACTCCCCAACACTGCCTGTTATTATAAAACAATACCCAAAACAAAATGGAGAGAGACATTTTATTACCTCTAAATGTCTCAAGAATATCCCTGGGCTTCTAAATAATGACATTCAGATCCATCGTCCTTACACTGTGCGAGCGATGTGGTACAGCGTAAGAACAGGAGAGGAGCAGGAGCCTATTAAATCAGCAGGTGGACTGTTTGCTGACACTGCGTTAATGTGGCGTGTGCGGAATCCTAATAAAGTGCTGAAATAAACATAACTCCACACACAGAGAGAGAGAGGGGAGCTCATTTTATCTGACACGCTCGCGGCCTAAATATGCAAACATTATAATTCCCCGGTGAGTCGGTGGACACGCGCCGGGCTCGTTTCTCGCACGCTGTACCTGAGTATCCGGTGATGTCCATGGCCTTCAGGTTTCTGCACTTGATGACGGTTAAAGTGAGGCGCCCGGCGGTGGGCAGGTAGCACAGAGAAAACATGATCTCGCCCAGGTCCACGCTCTCCTGGAAACAAAACAACACAAGACAGGTTTGTGTTAGATATTAGCTTGTGTAACGGAGCACTGTGTAACATTTCCTACTAGAGTTATATTTAACAAACCACACCACACCTGCACATTAACAAAAGACAAAAAAGTATTACAATTATAACCTGCAAATAGTGGACACATACAGATCAAGCAGAAGTAAACAGCAAGGCCAAAAAAGTTAATGCATCTGATATAAAAATGTATTGAACAGATACATATGTACTCTAGTTTATGAAACTGTTGACCTTTTTTCTGTACCATTTTTGGTTCTAAAGTTCCATATGTTTTAAACAGACCATGAATGAAACATGGAACAAAAATTATTTCCCAAATTTCAAAGACCTGCAAATCATGTCAATAAATGGATGTATTTCATCATATCTTGTGTTATTCCATCTTGATATGATATGATAAAAAATGTTCTTGGAAGGACTGACATATTTTATAGAAATAGTTTCCTTTCATTTTGAAGTAATATTAAAGTTTTCAGAAGAAAAAAGCGACAAATGATGTAAAATCCTGCACCTTCTACTTGTTTGCACAATTTTCCCTCCGTTACTTTTCCCTCCATTACCATGACCTTTCTTAATAAAAAAATCTCATGAGTCAAAAAGTAAGAGGTTTTTCAACCTAATCTTGTACCATATGGTAGAAAACTATATGAAGCAAATATTCAAACCAGTTTGTTAAGGATATGTAAGTGAGAACCAAGAGTTATCACTGTTTGGATTTATTGCCCAAAAAGTGCTGCATATTTCATTCCCTCCGTTACCGACATGAGTTTTTTAAATTTTTTGTCAACAACTTGAAAGAATATCACAGGTTTAACTTGACCCTGTTGGAGTGTAACTCTTTCCTACATTCTGATACTTTACTTATTTCAATAGTCCCTCTAGTTTCTGAATAAGAGACATTTGAATGTCAAAAATCTGCCCCTGTTTCCCTCCGTTACCACTTGACTGGACCCACATTATTCTCATTCTCAGTATATGGTCATGCTCTGTCACTGAGCTGTAGAGGCTGCATTAGCACTGACTCATAACTGGTGCAGGTGCTGGGGTTTAGGGAGTATCAGAGAAAGTCTTTTTAGATTGAATCTGTTACATGTTGCCCTGTGGAAGCTGTAATTTTGCAATGTTTCAACTGCTGCCATGATATTGAACTTTATCTCTTTCCCCCTTGGACGCCTACAAGGAACAACTCATACATATATGACTAGGGCTGCTCATAGAACATAACTGCATAAAAGAAAACAGACTTCCACGAGTGATTATAAATGATTTTCACACTCATGAACTTAATTGAAACACAGACATATTTAGTATCTCTGGAAACCTTAGACTCTGAACTCTCCATTTCTGGATGTTTAAATATGATTCAACTCATTTACAGGTTTATAACAGCTCACAGAAAATGAGAGTTTACCTGGTCAGGTGCAAAATCGAAAATGAAAAACTACATTCAGCATCTGACATATGCATGTTCTGAAAAAATGTTAAAAATATATTTGTCTAAGTATTTAAACAGATTTCATATCACCAGATACATTATAACCAAGTGTGCACCTGTTTTGACCTGTTGTTCACCTGTGTGGACCTAATTTGCTTTTTCCATTTAACTTATTCAACTCATTTAACTTATTATAATATAATAATATAATAATAAAACTCTTCCCTGTCAGTGTGTGTCCAGTATCTTGGTTACTTTCTCGTGCGCAGAGCTCCACATAAGTGTTTGTTTCTGTAGTGATTCTGTCATACATCTCATCTTGGAAAAAAAGACTGAAATATTTCAAAGTACTCGCCTGAGCAACACCCAGATTTCGGGGCAATTTTGGTTCATAATCGAGTATATAGTCCCGGATAGTTTGTTTGAATATCACAGGACTCCACACAGACGCATCAGCGACATTCTCACCTTCCTAAGTTTCACTCTCTGAAAGTCCGTCGATGTCACTGTTTTCCACTTTATAATCAACTTCATCCTCACTTTGAAATCTATAAAAGTCACTTGCTCTAAACGTATCCATAAAATACGTCCACTCCTCATTATTTCTAAAACTGTGCGCTGCCATCTTTCTATTGCACGTGTTTAGTGTTGTGTTTTTTCCGGAAGCTACAATCGTCACTACTTCTGCTTGTGCTTTACAGAATAAGAAATACATGAAAATCACAACAAAAACAAATCAAAACATAAATAATCATCATAAAATTATTGATTAAAATAAAAAAACAGAGAGAGACATTATCTACATTAACTAGAGAGAAGAGTGCGAAATGAAACCTTTCAGTCATATGCACAGTTAAACAGAACCATTTTGAGCCTGGATTTAAACAGCGTCAAAGCAGAGGTCTGTCTCACATCTTCAGGAAGACTTTTCCAGGTTTTAGCTGCGCGAACCAATGCCTCTGAGTGTAGTTTAACTTTGGATGCACACGACCATTCCCCCTTTGAACTGGTTAATAAGTTACCAAGTGATTAGATCACGCAACACCAATCACACATCACCAACAAAGCGACCACTGTTCTTTAGCTGATGCTTATTTCATCATTTTGATTGCAACAAGACCACGTGAGTGCTACTTTAACTCAGAACTCTCAAACTCCAGTCTTTAATATCAATTACGCCACTTTCCTTTACTTACTCTAGCAGCCCAGATGATAGCCTTACATGAGACACATTCTGCTGACGCCTTCTTCTCTCTGTGGAGATGTTTGTTTTGTTTTTTTCCCATGTTCCATGTGTGAGTGAGTGATTGATGTAGCGTCACTTGTGTCAGTCTACACCAGAGCAGCTGTTCTTACTCTACTGTCAAATCACTTTATAAGACTTATGCATTTTTATCTTCTTTATAGGTGCACTGTGTAACTTTTCAGCCAGTTACTTCTCTCCAGTAAGGAAATACAAAATAGATAAGTTTAATACCATACCATGGAACATTCTATGAAAAGCACAACTGTAAAGACAACTTAGGTTTTCACTTACTATTCATTCATTGGGTGAAATTCTTATTTGTTAACAATATCTTTTGTGTCTGGTCCTTTATATGTAAGTGGCATTATTATTTAGGCCATATCAGCCTGTTCGTTGCGTCCTCTCCGGACGCACGGGGGATTTAAGGGGAGAGGGACACGTGCAAAGGGTGTGACGTCACACGCCAGCTTGGACGCCTGCCAGGAGCTGTCTGTGCCGTGGAACCACCATATATTGGAATATATCGCTGTATCTTGCGGATTATCGTGTTTTCCATTCGTGTGGGAATCGTACTTCGCCACGGGAGCTGCTGGACTGAGCGTCAGACCCGGAGCGCGGGTGGCGTGAGTAACACCGCAAACTCTTCAAACTCACGTCACGCTGCCGCGCAGCGGGGGGGAAAAGACTTCGGGAACTTTTTGGGGGAAAGTCGCTCGGGACGATTATGGTGAAGGGTGGTGGACTAATAACGGGCTGCCTTTTGTTGTTTTCTTGCACTGTGATTTGGGATTTGGGTTTTGTGTTGGGGTTTTGGGGATTGGGTGCGCTCGAGCGCGGGGTGGTGTTTGGTGTTTATTAGTTAATGTGGCCATTCTCGTATGTGTCTGGCAATGTCAATAAAAGACGGATAGGCCAAAAGCACTTTATTTTTTGCATGTCTTTATTTCACCCCGCTGACGTGAATGGATCCTCCCGCGTCCTAAATTTTGCGTTGTAGCTTTTCGTTTGTCGTGAACAGGTGAATTGTTACACAACATCTTCACGAAGAAGCAGGTAGCGCCAGAAAGTGACATGGTGCATGACAGTATATGACAATGTTTACACTGAAGGTTTGTGAAGAGAGCATTTTTAGAGAGTTCCTAACATACCTTGTAACAGATTTTTCCCCCTGTTAAACATGCACTATGTAACTATTTGGTTGGGGATCAATCACCTGCTTGTTTCTATGGATATGTCATTGCTCTGCCTGAAATGTTCCACAGTATGACATTAAACAGCTCTCTCTTACATTTATTCAATTACAGGTGTTTTTTTTTTTAGCTCAAAAATACCAAGAAAAACAGACATTCTGACTGTGAGCGGTGTCGCCTCTCCACAGAATTGACTTCTAACTTAGTCTGATTTGGTCTTCATGAAGATAGAAAGGTTTAATACCACACTGTAAATCATTCCGGACAAAGCAATAACATCTCCAGACAAGCGTTTGACAAACCCTCACCGAAAAAGTTACACAATGCCCCTTAAGGTCATTCTGTCCGCTGTGTGCTGTCTGCTTCGAATGAGAAAGTGTAAATCGGGACGAGGGGGCTTTTTACTCTCACGCACCTGGGATACTGTCCTGAGGAAGTGGGACTGCAGATGGCGGTATGAGAACAAACTCTTGGTCTGAAAAATGAACCTATTAACACGAGAAAGCACCACTACAAAACCCTGCTCTGGCCTATGAATGTTGTGAAACACATTCAGATTTTCATGTTTTTAAGACAGTATGAATCACGTTTACAAGGATTTACAATAAATAAGACGTACCGTAAAAATATGAGCTCATGATATACTTACATAACAGCCCAGTTTTGAGTTTAATATTGCTCAAATCCTTATTTATGGTCTGTAGACTTTTTGTTTATAGATTTTCTCCTGCCCCACTCGAGCTGAGGTCTGCTGACGCGAAACCACATTTAACACACTGATGTTTTATTGGCCTTTGTCGCTCGTGCAATAAATTTCAGTTAGTCACGGCTCAGGATTCCTAAACTGTACCTGCCTGAAATGCATCGGGGTTAGCAATGTTCATTTGGTGGGTTTAAAAATAGAGGCAGTGGAGTAAATAATGTAGCAGTGAAAGTGAAAGTGAAACTAAAGCGATTTCTGTGGTGAAGTCAAATGAAAATCAATGAGAGTGACACAACCACAGATTACTGAGCTGCTGTTCTTGGAAAACAGATCAGCGGAGGTCTTGTTTTGTAAGGATACAGTTCATTACCTACTACTGTATTTTC